TTCATGTAACACAACACACAGCCTATCATCAGATAACAGCTATTAAATTGCTTCAGTCATGCATTCATTCACCTTGAGATACCCATAAGTTCTTGTATGGAAAAACAAATATCATAAATACAGCATGGTATCAATTACTTTTTATACATACATCAATAAAATCTGTCACATCAGTACATATTCCTAATCCCATTATACTAAACAATATCATAATGATCAGATGCATTCCATTACCTTACAACTCATACAAAATATGCAAATATTCAAATATCCATGTCCTGATATATTCATACATCCATAGTAACTAATCTTGCATACTTTAACTATGTTTCCAAATTCACAATTCAAGCATGTGTAATTCTAACATAATGCATCAACATATGCACTAATTTACTATGAAGTAAGCTAATATTGAATCACAATTTTAAATTCTGACCACAAGCTAACAATCTACACCTTGCATCTGATAACTCTATGTAGGCTCAAGGCCATTTCTCAAATAACAATGTAAATGAAACACTGCAAAGGTAATTCTACATCTAAATGATCCCAGTAATTAAGTATGCATACTAAAAATAATTACAATTATGTCATAATATTCTGCAAAAAACTGAGAAAATAACTCACTGACCTTTCAAAGCTTTGTCTTCTTTAGAATCTACCTCTAAGTTTTGCTGCCAAATTACGAGTGGCTTCATCTCAGTAAATCCTATTGACTTACATTCCCTCTAAGTGAGTTCTAAATTTTCTTACATAAGTTTGAAGTAATATTTGGGTCAGAATTGTAATTAAACCATCTATCTCAATTCTATAAGGATAACACTGTGAATGGATCCAATCAAACTGACTAAACAATGCCCCTATCACTGTCCTTCAACATGGGGATTGATGAGAACACACCCCATTAACCCTGTGGGCTTTCCTTTGATCTTTGGACTAAGCTTTAAATCCTATGGGTGATAACTACAAGCCATTTTTTTAGATGGCAGGATCTATGGCCATTTGCTGATACAAGTTCCAGTCTCCAGTGGGTCAGGTAACCTTACATAAAAGTTTAACACTGGCAACCTTTAGACATCAAATACATGGCTGCCATAATACTCCCAAGACAGGTAGATTGTAGCTTATACATGTACATGACTTTATAGATGGGGCTTAGCAAACATGACACCAGTTTTCTTGCAATAATTATAAAATCTAATTAACAGAGTATGAACATTTTTATCCATTGAATTGGTATATCAAAGTAGAATTACACACTGGCTGAAACATAGTAAATAATTCAGTTACATATTTATTTCTTGGTCCACTGCATAGGATAAGATGACAATTATGTTTTACCTAGGTCAAAAAATGTATGCATATATATACACAGACATAGAACTTTGACTTACAACCATAATCCCCCTGCCTTTTACATCTATTTATGTGTCACACACACACACACACACACACACACACACTTGCTTATAAGTCAAGTCCAATACAAAGCTGCATAGATCCACCATCATATTATACAGGTTTCCCTTCTTATAATAAGGTAGTTTGGGTCCATTACTGCTGGCTGCATTATACATCAAAGCACATGGTACTGAGAACTGCAATATCTACAGACACAGAACTGTGGAATGGGACTATATAAATTGTTAAGACTAAGTTTCATCTTGTTTTCTTGCTATGCATTAATATAGTTTTGGTCATGGGGTCCTTAGCGTTATCATGTTATATCCAAAATCATTATGCTGAGTAGCGTTATAATGGGTGAAAATGCACTGCAGTTGGAATTGAAAAACAGTGATAGTTACAGCCATATGTTTGTGCCCTGAATTACTGACAAGTTTTTTTTTACACCATGACTGATGATTAATTATAATTGTTTTAAATATCATTAATATACGTTTTATTACAATGATTCCATGAAGTTCTTGTGAATTTTGCATGAAAATATGAAATATTAAATATTATTTACACCTTTCATACTTTATGTTATTATTACTCAAGTGATATGATTTCCCTTTAGAAAGGCCACCCAGTTTCTAAGGTCAGAGGAAGTGGCCCTAAATGAAGGGTCCACTGTAAGTAAGAATTATTGCTTGAAATTTCTGTGAAACTAATATATTCATCTAAATTCATGGGTAATAGTAAGATAAAACAGATTACTTTTTAAATGTCTTAATATAATTGTATTCTTAACAATGACAAACACAGTTGATAGTTTTATACATGTCTGTACATTCATACAGAAGACATACATGCTCTTTTATGTTTTAAATAATTTTATATTTTAATTTAAATGTTTGGACCATGCAGTCTGAAAAAAATTCTTATTAGAAGACTAAAACATTTGAAAAATATTGCAAAGCACAAAGAACTTTTGTTCTTTTGGCAATCATGCATTATACATTTGCTTGGCAATAATGCATTGTGTATTTGCTTGGCAATAATGCATTGTGTATTTGCTTGGCAATTATGCATTGTGCATTTGCTTGGCAATAATGCATTGTGTATTTGCTTGGCAATAATGCATTGTGTATTTGCTTGGCAATTATGCATTGTGCATTTGCTTGGCAATAATGCATTGTGTATTTGCTTGGCAATAATGCATTGTGTATTTGCTTGGCAATTATGCATTGTGCATTTGCTTGGCAATAATGCATTGTGTATTTGCTTGGCAATAATGCATTGTGTATTTGCTTGGCAATCATGCATTGTGCATTTGCTTGGCAATTATGCATTGTGTATTTGCATGTCAATCATGCATTGTGTATTTGCTTGTCAATCATGCATTGTGTATTTGCATGTCAATCATGCATTTTGTATTTGCTTGTCAATCATGCATTGTGTATTTGCTTGGCAATTATGCATTGTGTATTTGCTTGGCAATAATGCATTGTGTATTTGCTTGTCAATCATGCATTGTGTATTTGCTTGGCAATCATGCATTATGTATTTGCTTGGCAATTATGCATTGTGCATTTGCTTGGCAATTATGCATTGTGTATTTGATTGGCAATCATGCATTATGTATTTGCTTGGCAATCACGCATTGTGTATTTGCTTTGCAATGATGCATTGTGTATTTGCTTGGCAATAATGCATTGTGTATTTGCTTTGCAATTATGCATTGTGTATTTGCTTGGCAATCATGCATTGTGCATTTGCTTGGCAATTATGTATTGTGTATTTGCTTGGCAATTATGCATTGTGTATTTGCTTGCTATGGCAGTAAAGGATTTAGTTGTTTTGTTGATGAAAATCGGTTTCTATACTGAAATATAAATTGAAATATAAGTATGAAAAATTTTATGAAATAAAATATAGAAAAGAATTTGCATTTTTTAGATGCATGAATAATGGTTGAATAAAAATACCATCTACATTCTCTTATAAGTAGTCAAATTGCAAATGACAAAGGGACATTATGCTACAGCAGATCAGGATCAGTGTTGATAGTTCTATAAATTACTCCTTACAAACTGCACAGACCCAGACACTGCTGTACAGTATTCAGATGTCCTTATAAGCAAGTTCCTATGGTAACCATGTGGACAGGTATAAAAGCAAATTATGTGTAATTTGTATTAATTTATTCAAAACTACTTTGTTGTCCAGCATACCTGCCAACCTCCCAGGCAGTGTTGGGGACTCCTAAGACTGAAAGTGTATTTTGAGGTCTCAAAGGGGAGGGGGTCACTGTGCTCAGTCCTAGAAAAGCAACATTGACTTCCAGATAGTTTTAAAAAATATACGGAAACAATTTTTTTCAATCTGTAGAGAAAAGTACTAAGTAAATCCATTATATTATTGAAAATTTTTTTTTATGAGGTTAAAGATAAAGAATTGGTAATTCCCTAATGTCAATAACATGTTTTCAGTAATTGTGCAAAGAATATCATGTTACTCTTGCTCATGTTTCATTGAATAATAACTGCATTGTGACATTTTGCCTTCAAAAAATAATTACACTTAACTACAAAAGTAATATATGGAGTTAATTTAATTCAGTCATGAACTAGTCAATAGTCTTTAATAAAGCTGGCTTAAACATTCTTGTTCAAGGCAAGGAAGAGCAATAACTTTTTGTTTCTTTGACATAAATATCTTTGATTTACTTAACTTCAAACAAATCCACTTAATCTGCTTTAACTATGAAAATATGCCTAATGGATTCTCCCACAAAGGATTCTTAACCAGCATGGATCTAGCTATTATCAGACAGTTAAGTAATCAGTGCAGGGGTGTTTTTTTATTTTTTTAATCTCTGATGAACTTTCCCACAGCATTAAACATGATTTTTATCTGCTTATGCAGATTATGGGCATACCCTGTGGTGTCAAAAATGACTTATCTGTTTTTACAGATTATGGGCATGGTAATGTGGTGTCAAGAACAAGTGTTATCTGTTTTACAGATTATGGGCATTCTAACCTGTGGTGTCAAGAATGACTGTTATCTGCTGTGTATACAGATTATGAGCATTATAACCTGTGGTGACCAAATTAAGTGTTATCTCTTTTTAAAGATTATGAGCATTATAACCTATGGTGTCAAGAATGACTGTTATCTGTGTATACAGATTATGAGCATTATAACCTATGGTGTCAAAAATAACTATACAGATTATGGGTATTATAACCTGTGGTGTCAAGAATGACTTTTATCTGTTTATACAGATTATGTGCATACCCTGTAGTGTCAAGAAGGTCACTCCCCCCTTTATTTTTCTTCTATTCATAATAAGATTTCTGAAAATCATGTTTCTTTTACACAAAACAATTGTATCAGCAGATTTGAGAGTTAGAAATTGTATTTTTGCTTGACTCAACATGTTATGGCAAGTATATGGTCTTGGACTGGTTTATGGACTTTACTTTTTCTGAAAAATTGTCAAACTACAAAATTATGATCTGATCAGCAGTCCAAGACCATTCTATTAAGATAGAACCTTTTCTGTAAGTTGACAGTAGTCATACTGTGTGAACTTTGCCACTTAACTAGACTGCTTCAGTGGCCTACTGGTTAGAGTGTGCACCTGATAAGTGGGAGGTCACAGGTTCAAATCCTGGCTGAGTAATACCAAAAACATATATAAATGTTGCTAGCCACTGCCTTGCTTGTCACTTGGCATTAAAAGGTTAGTGTTAGGACTGGTCAGCCTGGTATCAGGATAATATGGCTGGGTGGTACATCATGCCATATGTCTGTGACATGATGCCCCATTGCTAGACACCACTATAAACTGCCTCACTGCAGACAATATAGCAATAGGACTGAAAAATTGTTAAAGCTATGTTAGAAAACCAAATTACAAACATTTACAACTTAAAATTTTATATTAGTGTTTACAGTGTTTACAGAGTTGAACTGACTTTATGGAGATTTGCATAGATTTAAAGTTTTTATTATTTCTTTTAATACAGTTATAAAATATTTATCTACATAATGAAATTTTTAATTTTTTCTGGGAATTTGGCTTGAAACTGTGAATATTTCAGGTGGAATTGGACTTAGTATTGCTGTTCAATTTGAATTAAATTATAAACTATTTCTTGTTTCAATTATATTGCCACATAAGGAAAAATGGACATGGAGAAAAGTGTTATCAGTATGTTTGTTTGAAAATCAAATACCATTTAGTTATCATTTTGTGCTGAAAAGGTCCCATGCAAAATGCATATAACAGATTTTGACTGGTCACACAGGTGTTTTGTATGATGTTTACCACAATACAACATGTAACAAATGACTGATTGATCTTTTCCTGCTTCAAAGGGAGACATTGAGATGGCAGTGAAAAACCTGGTGATGAAATATTTATGTATGGACAAATCTACAAAGCAAGTTCTGAATAAATGTTTGCTTTATTAATATTACATAGCTTTTACAAAGGAGCCATTCAAAAAAGTTTAGATGATAATTGTCTCTAAGCCTGGAACCACTTGAAACCATGTGGAATTGCCATTTACTGAGTATATACATAATGCTTACCGATACAACTTGATCATTTTCGTAGGACATTTATGGATATACCTTGTTTATTTTTAAAAGAGAAATTTATTGGAATTCCTGTCTAGAAGCATGTAAGTTAATTCTGTATAGTATTGCTATTTCCTTTTTTCTTTTTTCTAAAGTATAGATTTGTCATGTCATCATTATTTTTTTGATATAATAGTAACAAATATTAGTCTGTGCCATGCAGTAATTTTTGCAAAATAATTGTTTAGTTAAATGAAGAATTTATGTGTTTGCTTTGATGATAGTCCAATGTACATTTGTGATATTTGTAAAAAAATGACTTCTTTATTCATCAATTGATGAGTAACATATATACTCAGGTATAAGTCAAATCCAGTTAATGATGAGTAACATATATACTCAGGCATAAGTCAAATCCAGTTAATGATCCTAGTTTGAGATACAACCTTAAAAAGTAATACTTCAAATAAAGATAATAAAAAACTGTCAAAGGATAAATGCATTCCAATATGAAGATATTTTGTTCTTGATGAAAACCTAGATGGCAGTAACTTCAATGAGTGTGACATGCCTTTTCAAAACAAATGGATTTTACAAAATTAAAATTACATGTAAAGACCTTTCAAAGTTGATAATTAAATTAGATAGTCACTATAACTTTTGTTTTCAATGTATCATTTTTTTAGCTGGTAATATGGAATACAGTAACCTCAGTAGTGTTGAGAAAATGATATTTTCTGTCAATTCTTTGAAGAGAAATACATGAACCATTGTGGAATAAGGAAGGGATAAGGAAAAGAATACTTAGAAAGAACAATGATTTGTTCATGAAAAAATTATAAATTCATAGCACTCATTGTATTTCTTTTTATTTCTATGGTTCCCAATGTATATATACCTCCCTTCATGGTTGGCTCTTGTATTCCCATGAAGAAAAGTAAACTATTTTGATTCATAGTTTTATTGTAAAAAACATCTTTAGCAACACAATGCATAGACAAAATAATGTTAGCATGAGTTAACCATAGTAATATACATGAAGTCTGTATATAGTATGTATGTATAATATAAAAAATGTATGGATAATAATACAGATATGGTGAGAGAAAATGTCCTGTTACATGCCTAAACAAAGCTAAGGTCATAAAGTAATTTTTTACTTATACTGGTCACTAAAAGACTTCTTGTGATGGTCTTAAAATAGTTTTGATATGACCTTGAATATGGTTGCCATCTTAAAAATCTTGTAATTGCTATTCCACCAAAATGGATGGCCATATTAAAATGGAGATTTTCACCAAAAGACCATTAGAATAGTTATTTCTGAGTGGAATTTGAGCTGATTTTATATTTATTCTATCTGCCATGATTTGCCAACTTAAAAATTTTGTTATTGCTGTTTTCCCTGAACTTATAGTCATAATGACATGTCTTTCCACTAAAGATTAATTTTAATGTATTGTTGCCCCTAAATGGTGATGAATTATATAATTTGGCTGAAGATTTTTCAGCTCTCAGCTTTTCAAAAAATGAAATGGTTTTATCTTGGTATTTCTGGAGAAATTTTTTTACCAATCCCTTTTGAGAAATTCTTTGTTTAGTGGACATTTTAGGAACTTAATGTGTAATCAGCACAGTAAAGCATGGATTGTGCTGATGTGCTGTTAAACCCAATACATGCATACATATTCACCAGGACCTAAGATGAGTTAATGATGAGAAAGATCCACAGAGATTGATGAGAAGAGGTCTTACATCTGATTGAAGGTGTTACTACTTGAGATGCCATAGTCTGGTGCAATTTGGTTGTGCCTTGGAGTATAGGCCTTTATCATCTAGATTTAAGCCATGCTTCATACAGAATGAGAGTCATTGATACTTATGAGGCAATCATGCATCTGATGGACTTTGCTTGTTAACATTCTTTACACTGGATTTCTGATAAGAGCTTGATCAAACTCAGCAAATAGGATTTTATTGTCAAGATATCTGGTGATTTTTATTAAGAGTGAGATTTAAGGGTATTAATTAAATAATGTCAAAACAGACTGTCTAAGCTTCTTATCACACATGAGACAGTATTTTTTACCAGAGTTATTTTATCAGGCTTGGTTAATTAGCTAATATTATGAAGTATTTCGGAACAGTTTTTTTTCATTAAGAATGAAACATGCACATATATTAGTAAATGAGGTGACATTGCAGAATAGCTTGATACTGATATGGGACTATATTTTTGATGCAACTTTGTAACTATGCTTAATTATCAACATCCCCATGAATTATCAAGATCCCCCATGAATTATCAAGATCCCCAATGAATTATCAAGATCCCCATCAATAATCAAGAGCCCCAATGAATTATCAAGATCCCCCATGAATTTTCAAGATCCCCATGAATTATCAAGATCCCCAATGAATTATCAAGACCCCCATGAATTATCAAGATCCCCCATGAATTAACATGATCCATAATGAATTATCAAGATCCCCAATGAATTATCAATATCCCCATGAATACAATTGGGAGTGATCAGGTGATGTTGCATGTAAATGGCTGAGCTTGTCAGTACTTTTTTTGATCAGATTTTGATGAAACTTTTTTGGATAGTCCTGTAACATCAAAATGTTGGATATTATTGATAATTAGCAAAAGTTTTTACTTGATTGATATAAATTGTTAAAGCTCAGGATACTGATTTTTTTCTTTTTCAATTTAGCCCAACTTAATGAATCATGAAACTCACATGAAAAGACTATTATATTTAATTTCTACCTCAATTAGTATCTGTCTAGACAAATGTTGTAAAAGTAGTAAAAGGACAAGCCTACTTACTACTTTAAAAAGGAATACAATATCTGTTGTCTGCAAATCCAGTTTTAATGAGAGAAAAATGCCAAATGGCACTTAGCTTTTTTTCTGCTAAAATGTAATCTTTTTAACCCATATAGTATTACTGATTATACTGTCATGAAAATCAATTGTCCCATCATTAGTTGCAGAAAATTAAAACTTGCAAATTGATACACAAAAAAGGTGTAACGATAGTGCCATGAAATGTAGTTATTTTGGATTTTGGAACTTAGCAACTATCAATAAATTCAAAGCAGTGTTCTTGTTTAATGTCAACTGACAGCTAAATTTGTTAGTAATATCATTTTTTTGCAGTTGTAATTTTTCAACATTTAAAAAAATTTTTTTATTTAAATTGTTGAAGTGTGGCAGATTTTAAGCATTAGAATATGGCCAATTTTTGGATGAAGATAGTAGAATGTCTTGGTGTAGAAAAATATGTTATTGTGACCTGCATAACAAAAGAAATAATTATTTGAAAACAGTTAGTTAGTTTGTGCACTCTTGATTGTCATTTGTCTGTGGTAAAAAAGTAATTATTTGACAGAATTTAAACATTCTATCTGCCACAATTTGTTCTTTGATTAATTGCTCTCTAAATATTTTTGACTGATCTAATTGAATTTGAGAAACACAAAAACACTGCTGTTGTTCATGATGTTTTGCTCTAATCATTGTAAATTAATGATCTTATAATTAAATTTGTATATAAAAAAGATGGACTGCTTTTGACAAAGCTTCAGAATTAACTGAGCCTTTTCTTTAAAAATTTGTTAGCTCTGGCATTAAACTATTTCACTCTGATAAAAGTCATTGCTGTGCACTTGCTGTGGACCACTCAAAAGATATTGCTAATAGTTTGATAAAGTGAACTCAATAAAGCAGATGTTGTGTATTAGATATTTGGAACTGGAAGCAAAACAATGAGCCTTGTCTTCTCTATGTCCATGGAACTTACTTTGATGCTAATGTGGATATGTGAGAAAGCTTGCCAGTAGATTCTCGTGGGTCAGTGGTTCTTTCCGCAGATTTCCCAGTTTCTTCCTCCACCATTAATACTGGCCGCCATGTATAGCCTATCATGTGCTAAAAATGGCATTAAGTCCCAGAACAACAACAACACTGACTATCTATGATGCTCTCCACCACTGTAGAGATGCTACTTTGAAGCTGTTGAAGGTCTTTCTGCAAAAACCTTGTGGGTTTTGATCTTCAGGCAGAAATGCTTTTTGGAGTCATTCTGC